ATATATATATATATATTATACGTGTATGCCTAAGTCGTTCAACTGACTAGATCGAAGCCTTGAGCAAAGCGGGGGTATACAGCCTGCTGCAAGTGTTCACGGGTTTCGTGGAATCACCTTGCCGGCTACCTGGGCTCCTCTGTCAGGGCCTGTTAGGCTGTTGTGGGGTTGAGGCTTCAAGATAACCAACGCAATAGTTGTATGGCATGCGGGATGTAACGCTTCCGGTCTGCTAGCGCAGCGTTTGGAATTCGGTGCTGCTTTCAAGGGGTTTTGGGGTTCGACGAGTTGGGCTGTTTGGGGTCTTGCGTTGAGGATTGAGGCGGAAATTGAGGCTTCAGCGTCTTGAAGCTGTCATATTGGAATTATACCATTTACAAACGCCATGGGCGCAGTGATTGCCACCTCTCGGGAAGCCACAGAGGAGAAGCCATAACTCCCAAAAAAAGGCTTTGTTTGGAAAGCTGCAATCTTGAGGAAAACCTTTCTACGATCTGCCGAAATCAGAACGCCTTAAATTCACAAACGAAGGAAGCAAGGACCAACTCGAGTTCCACGAAGCTGAGTAAAGCAAGGAGAAATACCAAGAGCAGTTATTCTAAGAAGCAACCCACTCGCAAGGTTTCGACACTGAAGGCCTCGAACCCGTTATGGAGACCATTCACCACTATTTTGGCTCCCATACAAGGCTCCAGGGTATGGTTTCGGAAGAAAACTCTCACATCCCGCAAACCCTCAAACCCTACGGCCGCCTCCTTGGGCAGGTCAATCTGCATGCCGCCGGTCTCCCTGATTCGTTTTAGGATGGCGAGATGAATGGCTGTGCAACGTTTAGAGTGTAATTGTGTTCAGGGGATGTAGAAGAGCCTAGCGGCAAGCGGTACTCACTCTCTCTCTCTCTCTCTCTCTCTCTGGGGCAGCGTTCACATGAGGTCATGTAAGGGTCAGGGCAAGGCGTTTGCCGCCCAACCTGTCTGAGACTGTTGCGTTGGCAGTGCACATCGCACTCCCTGGGTGTATCCAAGAGGGCACGGGTTGAGTGCATACACCGCAAAAGTTAAGCCAGATGTTGCAACGAATAGGCTGCCTCGGCGCACAACTGACAGCCGCACACATCGACTAAACTCTAACTCGGACAGAAGTAGCTTCCGACGTGACCCTGAACCTGGACCCGAGGCGACCAAGGAACAGCAACACCAAGACAGCACCCTCCAGGAACTTCAGCCGCCGGACAGTCTCGGCGCTTTGGCCGTTGAAAGAAACCTGTGAGGCGTACGGCTTTGAGGGTTTAAATGGCTTGCAGACGAGTGTGAAGGGAAGGGTCGGCGCAGGCTTTGGGTTTCAAGAGTATAGCATGTAGGGAAAGGAACCGAGTGCTTGAACAACTTAAACTTAGGGTTACGCACAGCGTTGCATATAGAATTCGTGGTATAGAGTTTGGGGCTCAGCGCTTAGAAGCGCAAGCTTTGGTAGTTGCTGATTTGGATAGCGGCTCGGAGGATCAGAACTTCAGCAAGGAAGGAGACTTTCCGGGCAATCGATGCTGTAGGATCTGCTTGGCAAAGCACCCTGCAAGCGTCTGTGCGCTTTGGTTTGTGGAGTCTTGCTCTCCAGTTCCAAGCGGCTTTCTTCTTCAGGCTCTCATCGATGGGAGCGTTTTGACTTCAGAGACTCGCGAGTGTTGGATTGCAAGGATGTTTACACGGATTAGGTTATAGACTGAGCTGCAGACTACAGCTTTCTTCATCTAGGACCCTAGGATGAGTAGCTTCCTGGCTAAGTAACTGGAGCCACTGGAAGACTTCCCGAAGCCTCCAGGTGGCGCTGGCGCGAGAGGCGGAAAGACACGTCGTCCCCAGCGGCATCCCGGAATGAGAGCTCTGGCAGGTCGGCACCTTCCCCAAACTTCGGCCCGCGGTCTGCGTCAACGTCAAACAAGGCTACAGAACTCTGGAGCCGAATGCCGAAGCCTTCCTCAATTGCATTCTTGGGTCTTCACTTGACCCAAACCGCGTCCTGGGAGCATAGGGAGACAAGGAAAAGTACACGGCCCCTTGCTCGAGAATATGTCCAAGTGTGCGGTGTCATACAGCTTTCGCCACGTGAGCCTGAGGTCGCCTTGTCCAGTTGCGCCTGCACCTGGTGCCGGGGCTGTTTCTGAAACTTCGACACAGGATGGAAAACTGGTCGTGCCCTGGGGCCATGCTGCATGATGATGCTGAGAACTCTGCACATGAATCACAACTTCGCAGTTTGGTTGTTTCATGCGTACGGCGACTGCATCTGGGATATTTTGGGATGTCTTTCTCAACAAGCGCTAAACCTAGCCTACGATTCGGACGGCTTTCAAAACATCACACGGATGTCCCGTGCTTTGAAAATGCCGGCATGTCAGTCTTGGTTCTTCATTCTATGCGTCCAGGGAAGCCTGATCTACAGACATCAAATCAATCCATGAAGACAGCTGAAACGTAGGGAGACAACCAACACATGCGCGCACACACACACACACACACCCTCACATGTCACATGGTCGTCCTTTGAACCCCCTTCTAATGAATGCTACAGCATCCTTTCTTTCCCGAATATTGTTTGAACATCACCCGACCCAATCCCGATGCAGGACTCTTGAGTTCGTCCCAGAGCCTCACCAGGCAGTCCGCGCGTGCGCCAAGGCTGAACTCTCCTAGACCATACTACGTGTCTTTTCCAGGTTTAGGGAATGACTGCAGGCATGCTTGTCGCTACGATTTTAGTTGCTGGCCATCTGCAGGGGTTTATGCTTCTTATTCCCGCTATCACGTCCGTCGCTGTTGCAGCTCACTCTCAGCTTAGATCTCTGGAGGCTTTCCGGATGCGTGCTACGCTCTGTCGCAAATCAGGGAGTCTGGGATCTGGGCTCCAGGATCTAAAACGCCGAGGCCGGAGGAATTGCATGGTTGGCTAGCTCGGTGAGGCCAGGCTGTGTTTCATGAGGTACACCGCCACCCTTCAGCACGGAGCGCCCGAACTGTTCTGCTACCCCTGCACCCACTCAAACCACCGCGCCAGGCTCGAAAACACCCCGAACCCTGCAAAATCAGTTCGCGACAAAAACGCTGCGTTTTCGTTTACATGCATACGATGCCGTACATGCCGGCATTCGGCATCTGCACAGCAAAAACACCGAGAAATCGCACGTGTTTGAAGAGCATCCGCCAACCTGCCCACAATATAAAAACTGTAGCAACTACCGTGCAAGTCGCAGCTTCTTCACCCAGCATGACACTCCCCAGCACGCCGAAACCGTCCTTTCCCAGAACTGCCAGCGCAGACACAAAACAAAAAAGACCAATGGCACCGAACCCGCACAGACATCATGCACACGGGTAATCCGATTTGACCTAGATCCTCGACTCGAGGGCCCTCGAAAGCACAGAACTTGTAGAATCACCTGCAAACCATCTTTTAAAATCTGAACACCTGCATCCTACCGTCCAACATTTCCAACATCGAAATCTCAAGCGCCAATGGCCTGAATCAAATACCGAGTTATATCTTTCGGCCCAAATATTCATGCCATCTCCAGCAGTGCCCGGCAGTCCGCAGCCAGGCGCGGAAGCTTTTCAGTGGAACGGCCGCCTGGGCCAGAAGGTGCGGACTTTCTCAAAACGTACGTAAGGCGCTCCGTTCCGAAAGCTCGATGAGATGTTGTTCCTAGCTTGCAGAGCTCGGGCAAGTGGAAACAAGTCCTTGTCTCAGAAGGCTTCACAGGGCCATGTTGGAAGGGCTTCAACCATTGGGTTGAGTGAGGTCCTTGACTCCTGGTCCAGCGTTTTAGGCCAAGCTCGGGGAATAGTTAGGGTTGATAGGATCACATCTTGAAGAGGGCTTGGGTCCAACACTTGCCTCACCGGTGCAAAATTGTTCCCTTGCAGCGCTGCTCTAGATGGTAGACAAATCCGAGCCGGATGCGAACATCCAACCTTCCTGCTTAACTGTGCAAGCCCATGCTTGTTTTGAGAAGCTCGCGGGGAGAAACTAGCGGCACGCAGCATTCGGGCGTTTGTCTTGGTACTTGAGGTTGATCTTCCGCATTTGAGACAATCGATACTGGCGCTTGGCACGTTGCAGCATCTTGTCGCACTTCTTGATCCTGGGGTCGCTTCTGCGCTTGAAAGATGTGTTGAGCATCCTCTTGTCAGTATAGTACACGAGCGAGCGCCGTGCTCCTGAAGGCTCGGAAGGCAAGTTGAAATGCTCCTCTTGGGAATACATCCCGATTGCAACGTCTCAAGCTCGCAGATGCACAGCACCGAAGCGATCATCCCCCAGGTGGACGCAAAGGTCGCCGCCTTTGACGTTGGTCAGGGGGACGACGAAGCCGAGGCCAACGTCGTTAGAGTCGACGTGCTTGAGTGTGCTGCTTTTCCCATACCAGCAAAATGTGGCTGGGGTGCCGGCTACGCAAGATCGGACACCTCTGTAGCTAATTGCGATGCCTCAGCGAACAAGCCCCTGGCACGTTTTCTCGGACGGACAGCTTGGAAAAAATCATTCTCAATGGCCGTTTAGATTGTGCACCCCACTTACAAGCTGTGCCCAATTGGATCCCGAATGTGCCCCCCGCGCAGTCGTCCTTAAAATCGGACTCGAAAGCCTCATCCAGCTGGCGTGCGAGTGATTGCAGCTCTTTCAGAAGATCCGTGGGGATGCACCCCCGGAGAACGTTGGGGACCACTGCATTCTGTCCTTAAATTGCACGAACCCCACCACATCGCAAACGATACCAGTATGCCGACGGAGCGAGCAAAGATCACAGCATAGCAAAAGATGTGCCATTCAGCATCTGAGGAGCTCTTGAGCCGCAAGTCTTTCTTGGTCAATCGCTTGACCAAAACTCGCGTGCTCCCTTGCTTAGTGTGGACCAGATACGGAGAATCTTTCTGGTTGGCGCGGAGAAGTTTCACCATGGTGCGAGGCACAATGGAAAACGAGGTAGTTAGCTCAACTCAAACGAAAAGATTTCCAAAGCCTGATGCTGTCGAAGTGCTGTGTGTCTTTGTTGAATCCCCTTGATTCAGGTTCCACTTTTCAGGTTGTTGTGTGCAGTTGGGCTCGAGACAGCATCGCAGTTTTCAAGGCTCTCACCAGCCAGAGCGTGGCAACCTTCCCGTCTCACCAGCCAAAGCGTGGCAACCTTACCGTACTAGTAGGTCGTGTGTGAAGGAGGCTATAGTTGTTGGATTCACACATCAGCACACCTGCGACGCAACATGTCATGTCATGTCATGTCATGTTGAATCCAATGTGTTAGGGTGCACCCTGCATGTCTGCAGTTTGGTATGCCGGCTATGGGGTTTGCCTGGCACTGCAGTTTGGATGCTGGGAGAAGCTGGTACCTGAGAGAAGCTTGAGAGTTTTCTGTACTGCAATGGCCTTCAATAATTCATTGCCCATCTCCCTGGAGCGAGTTTTTCCGCCCATCACCGCCTGCTCTGAAGCGGCTGGGTTTGACAAAAAGACAAAGCAAAGCAAAACTCAAATTTGTAACCCTTTTGATTGGGGTGCAGTGCGACGAACACGTCTAGTTTAGTATTTTCTGATTCGCGTAGCCAGCGCGGAAGCGTGTACGGTGACAAAGACAGTCTTTTTCGAAGAACACTGTCAGGATGTTCTCTGTGTGCGGCAACAGTTGTATGGGATGGTGTGTGACAGTGCCTTAGTCGCCTTATACGCTACGACCGACAATTCAAAAGTGGCGCGATGACTTTGTGAGACAGACTTCGTTCCTAGACGGCGCTTGAGCTCCGACCTCCAATTCCTAGCACATCATGCTGACAGGACTGCCGCACATCCCGACAGAAGCGGGGTGTGCACCAGCTAAAGTAGAGAGATCGGCCTGGTTTCAAGAAAGCGTCAGCGCACAACAAAAGTTCCGTCTTACAGTCTCTTGCTGCGTGTGCAGTATCATCAAACATGGTTGGCAGAGCCTCAATCGGATGATCAGGGCCTCTTGCAGCAAATCGTCCTGTGCATCGACAGCTGGATCTAGCTACAAATCTACGCCAATTTACAGCAAACCCAAGAGCACGAAGTGGCCTGATGCGAAAATCTGCGTGGTGGCGGCAGCAGGCTTTATCGCAACTTTGGCTGACAGGCTGAGCTTGAGGAAAACCTCAGTTTAGGATTGGTTTAGCACACGACGCGGGCCATCTTGGCTGAAAGGTTTTGGTATCAGAAACGTATATGCTCTCGACGAAGGCTTTATAGCCCTTTACTGACTGGCAAATGAAAGTCAGCAAGCGGTTTGCCCCGATCCTGGCTGAAAGGTTCGGTTTCAAGAAAACGTGAGGTCGTCCTTGTCGGTCTTCGGAAAATGTCAACAAAGAACTAGGCCAAGGCGCTTGCTTTAACCCTGGACGACAAGTTTGGCTTGTGGGGTTGGTTTGCGAAAAACGTTAGCACGCAACGAGAGCCTTGCCCCAATCTTGGCTGACTTCAGACTGTCAGCACACGGCAAAGCTTTGCCTCAGTCCTGGTCGACAGGTGTGGCTTCGAACGCATCAGGAAACAACAAGGGTTGGCTGCCAGGCTTCAGATAATTTCAGCAGACAAAAGGGTTGCAGCAGCTTTCTCCGAGTTGTTGCTGACGGGTTTGGTTTCAGGAAAACGTATGCACACGACGTATCGCTTCAGCTATCGCTTCTGCTCGATTTTGGTAGAGAAAGATTTGCTTCCATTCAGACGCCAGCACATGGGTACAGTTGTGGTCCGGCGGTGCTGGCATTGTCTTGACTTGAAAGCGCACCTGCTCGCCAGGATTGGGATAAAGTCATTGTTGGAAGGTGTTGTTGGCGCTATGTTGATGCGACCAAACCTGTCACAAGGATTTGGGTAAACAAAGGTCGTTGTTGGGAGGAACTGGCACTACTAGGAAACAACCAAACCCGTCAGCCAGGATTGGTGTAAAGTCGTTTTGAGGAGGAGTTGGAATGAATTTGAAGCATCCAAACCTGTCAGCCAAGATTGTTGTAAAGTCGTCATTGGGAGGTGCTGGTGCTGTTTTTCAGCACCCAAGCCTGTTAGCCTGGATTGACGTAAAGTCACTATTTTCAATCCACCCCCACCTTGCAGCCAGGATTGGGGTAAAGTTGTTGGGAGGTGTTTGCGCTCCAATCTGAAGCAACACCTTGCAGCGAGGATTGAGGTAAAGTTGTTGGGAGGTGTTTGCGCCCCATTCTGAAGCACCAAAACTTGGCAGCCAGGATTGGGCTAAAATTGTTGGAAGGTCTTTGCGCCCCATTCTGAAGCGACCAAAACCTTTCGGAGGTGCCCCAGTCTGAAGCAACCAAACCTGTCAGGCAGGACTGGGGTAAAGTTCTTGGGAAATGTGGCGTCCCATTCTGAACAACCAAACCTGTCAGCCAGGATTGGGGTAAAGTTGTTGGGGGTGCTGGCGCCTTATTCTGAAGCAACCAAACCTGTCAGCCAGGATTGGGCTTGTTGGGAGGTGCTGGTGCCCGATTCTGAAGCATCTAAACCTGTCAGCCAGGATTGTGGCAAAATTGTTGGGAGCTGCTGGGGCTGGCGCCCTTGGAAGTATTGACCGAATGCCGGGCGCGCAAAGGCTTCAGGGTTTTTTTGGGGGTTTTGCAGGTGGGATGGGGGCTCCGAGGCAGCGAGGTTCGGACTGCCTGCAAGTAAGCGCCAGGAGTGCCTTGCGCTGTCCCCCCCACCCCTCCGCCCGTAACCTAGAGTGTTGCGCGCCTCCCTCCTCTCCCGGAAAACCCGGGCCCCCTTCTTGCGGCCACGTGCTCATCACGACCTTCGTCTGCACGCGGCCATCTTCGATCAGAGGCAGGGTGTAGGGTGTTTAGGGGTGTCTTTGAAGCGCTTTGGTATGGTTTTCTGTCTGGCTACGTGTTTCAAGGGTACCTCTCCTCGCCCCTCTCCTTTCCTTCTTTTGCCAGGCGCTCGTCGTGACCTTCGTTTTCGCTGAAACGAAAAGCCGAGCACTCTGAGTGCAGACTTTCAAGGGTTTCGGGGGGGTGGAGGCGTGACTTTGGCAGTTGGGCCAGGGAAAGCGGGGCGTGACTTGTGATTTGAGGGGGCCGGGCCGGGGAATTGAGGCGTGACTTCTGGTTTTCGGGGCCGGGGAAAACGGGCCGTGACTTGTGACTTCTCGGGGGCCGGGCCGGGGAATGTCATAAGCCGTAAAAGTGGTAAGGTTTCAATACGGACTGCAACTGCGGGCGTGAAGCACCCAACAATCAACGGCCTGCCAATAATTCTAGGATGACTGCATTTGCGTGGACGTGTCGGTGCCAACAATGCCCAGCCAGGTTGCCCAAGAAGCAGAGCACAACATGTTAACCAATCCTGTCAGCCAGGATTGGGGGAAAAAATTTTGGGTGCTGGCGCCTTATCCTGAAGCAACCAGACCTGTCCGCGAGCATTGGGGTAAAGTTGTTGGGAGGTGCTGGCGCCTTATTCCTAAGCAACCAAACCTGTCAGCCAGGATTGGGGTAAAGTTGTTGGGAGGTCTTGGCGCCGTGGTCTGAAGCCACCAAACCTGTCAGCCAGAATTGGGGTAAAGTTGTTGGGAGGTGCTAGCGCTTTATTCTGAAGCAACAAAACCCATCAGCCCGGATTGGGAAGCAGGCAAACCTGTCAGCCAGTATAGGGGTAAAGTTGCTGGGAAGTGCTGGCGCCTTATTCTGAAGCAACCAAACCTGTCAGGCAGGATTGGGGACAAGTTGTTGGGAGGTCTTGGCGCCGTAGTCTGAAGCCACCAAACCTGTCAGCCAGAATTGGGGTAAAGTTGTTGGGAGGTGCTGGCGCATTATTTTGCAACAACCAAACCTGTCAGCCAGGATTGGGGTAACGTTGCTGGGAGGTGCTGTCTCCTTATTAAACCTGTCAGCGAGGATAGGGGTAACGTTGTTGTGAGGTGCTGGCGGCTTGTTGTGAAGCAACCGAACCTGTCAGCCAGGATTGGGGTAAAGTTGTTGGGAGGTGCTGGTGCCTGATTCTGAAGCAACCAAACCTGTCAGCCAGGATTGGGGTAAAGTTGTTGCGAGGTGCTGGTGCCTGATTCTGAAGCAGCCAAACCTGTCAGCCAGGATTGGGGTAACGTTGTTGGGAGGTGCTGGCGCCTTATTCTGAATTCTGAAGCAACCAAACCTGTCAGCCAGGATTGGGGTAACGTTGTTGGGAGGTGCTGGCGCCGTGTTCTCAAGCAATCAAACCTGTCAGCCAGGAT